GAAGAAACTCTACTCAGTTTTGAGAAGGGAAACGGTGAAGCTCTTGGTGAAGTTACTACCACTGATGTGACTGTTACCAATGATAGGACATTTCCTGATGAAGTAGATGAACTCCATGAAGTAGAAGCCAACGAGACGGAGACCAGTATGGAAGAAGATACGTCCCGTAAAATTAAGAGACTTTGTTGAATTGTAATTTTGTGTTTGTAATTCTGTACAGTGAATTAAGTTATTGTTAATTGTTATTGGTTTATTGTATGTGGTTATTGTTCGGGACAAACAATATTAAGGAGGGGCAGTGTTGCATCAGCGAGTCACATCACTACTGTGACGCAACGTTTCTAGAACTATCATGTACTTTGGCGAATGCTCTAGTATTTACTAGATAGGGTAGGCTGGTATATATAAGAGGGGGAAAACGTGACGCGGGAAGGTAATGTAATGTGTGTATAGACAGTGAGTAATTGAACTGTAGTCAGAGAGCACGAGAGACGTTACAGCGTTTGTTTAGCGCGATTGTTGAAGTTGAGTGTATCGGTAAAGTTATATTCGGAAAGACTAAACCAGTTTTATTAAGAAAGGACTTGTGTCGTTAAAGTTTCGTCGGAACGAAGTTACGGAAAGTTAATTAACAAACGGAGACGTAACAACTGTTATGTCAGCTTGATCTTATCATCCACGTCTTTTGGTGCTCTCTCCTTTAGGAACAGTGACATCTCAGTTAAGAAGGTGATCAAGAACTGTTCACGTATTATAGATCTACCCATCCCACAAAACTATTTTTACACATGACCATGTCTCTCCATCTTGTGAAGTATCGCCATAGACGTGCTACAAAGTGAAATACAGTTTCTCCAGTGTTAGGTTTCATTTCTCTGAACTTCCAACAAAAGCTCTTCTTCTTCAGTAAGTTCATAGAATTTCAGCAAGGCCACTTTTAACTTGTCATAGTCCATGGCATTTATGACGTCATGCATGTGAGAAGAAGTCTGAAACAGACTGTCCACTCACCTTTGTCCCAGTTCCAACTTTGGGTGAATTTTTCATATCTCTCCAAGAAAGCATCCATGTCTGTTCATCAAGCTAGGGTTGACTGGCCTTGACCCTATTATCATTCTTGGGTCCTTCCTCTTTCTGTTGGGTGAGGTTGGCAATTTCAATTTGTGCTCTTATTCTCTCTATTACCTGTCTCTCCTCTCTTTTCTTTTTCTTCTTTCTCAATGTGTATTATTCTTTCTCTCTCTATTCCTTTTCTTCTTTTAGTCTTTCTTCCTCTCTTCTCTCTCCCCTCCTCTCTCTCTTCTGTTGCTGCTCTTTTCTCTCTGGTTCTTGTTGTTGTTTAACAAACTCTAGTAGATCACTATATTTCAACCCAAGTCACTCACCTCTCTCTATCCATTTATCAAAATCAGTCGACATGGTTATAGAGTGTGATTGTAATCTTTACACTATTTTCGCCAACAATGCAGTTGTGCATATATATGCCTACTTCCGCTGCCGTTCACATCTTCTTTCACCACCATTTTCCACTTTATAATCCTGACTGGCTCACCAATGCTTTTTATGTTTTTATAGAGGCGTGATTCTTTACAGTAGGTGTCTGTGGCTTTTTAGGGATAAATCTGAACAATGAATGGACAGCATACGATCAACTTGTTTTAAAATAATATATTCAAAACAAGTCAAATGTATATACAAAAATTTGTTATACTGCTGGTTAACACAGTTGTATTCAAAACATAAAATAATTATATCTTATTCGTCAAAGTTCACACAGGCGGGTTCAGTTGATTTAGAACACCCTTTGACAAGACAAATTATTCTCCTCTACTCTGTTATCACAATGTAATTAGCGGTAAATTCACTTATTTTACTCTGTGAGTTACCACAGTTATATACAGAGCTTTAAATAATTTTATTTTATATCAAAAGTCCACACAAGCTGGTTCAGTTACTATAGAACACACTTGACAAGACGAATTATTCTTCTCTACTCTATTTCTTACAACCTGTGATTGTATTGCTTTAAAAGTTGCCACTATATACTCTTTATGGCTAAACTTACAAACACTGTGAAACATAATCTAGATCTAGATTTCTCACTGACTTTGTCTTACTTTCACTTCTTACTTGCACTCTGTCTTCACATATTTATAACATGTTACATGTATCTAACCCTTTAGTGACAACAATGTCTATACAACGAGAAAAACTTAGAAGCTTCGAGTTAGATGACGTCAACAGTATTACAAAAGCCAAGTACAACAATTAAAATACAGACACAAAGTACTACTCGTACAGAGTTACGTAACGAAACTTGTCATAACTATCGCTTTTAAAATAATTAACTTTTAACACTCTTA